GAAAGACGGGTTAGTCATTAGTCATCTAACAATCAAATTTGAGGCCATGTTAGTCGTGTTTTCAAGGTCAAACAGATCTTTGTTTTAGATAGACACGTGGCCTTCAAACACTTCAGAGACCTTCAGAATATGGCATTTAAGATGTTTTAATAACCTGAGGGTTTTCATAACAATAAGATACATCTGCTCCTGGCGTCACCAATTTGCCTCAAAAAAAGGATGTTGGGCATCAAAGAACCCAACATATGGAGTTTGCTTTCATTGTGGCAAAGTTAGCCAGTGGGCAAGAAACTGCTCTTGCCTTGACTGCTGACAGTATGCTGTCCAAACTGGACAAGCAGGACATAAAAGAAAGTGACTGCTGAACTTTGCCAAGACAAGGGAAGACAGTCTTCAAACTTTCTGCTTCACAAAAAAGTGTATGAGATATTTTAGGCCTGTAGGCCAAAGATGGATGCCCCAGTTTTACAGAGGAGCCAGCTATTTCTGTTATTTCTTATAGTTTTGGAAGTTGCTTGCTCTGCACATTTACTCAGGTAATATTATATCCTTCTTGGGTCTCTGATGGAGTTGAAGATGAGATATAATTACATTTTTCTTTGTTACCAATTAAAAACTAACTCACAAAAAGGTATAAAATGTATCAGGTTGAGAGACATAAAAGCTTAAACTGTTTATCTAAGAAATGTTTTGAGGTCTAAAAATATAGGTTTAAGATGGTAATACAAGTTATGATAAAAATGGTTTAGGTATAAAACTTTAAATTCATCAAGATAAGACAGTTATTAGAGTATTTTCTCTTAATATGCCGAATACACATGGACTGAACATTGTATATATAACTCACTTACTGGGCTGGAGTGAGACCTCATCTCAAGAAACAAACAATCAACAAAACCAGCCATGCCAGATGCGGTGGCAAAGCCCTGTCATCCCAGCTAGAATACCAAGTTCAAGGCCTGCCTGAGTCACAGTGGGTTAAAGGCCAACATGGACAATTTATGGAGAGCTTGTGTCAAAAATTTGAAAAACCACAGAAAGGACTTGGAATATAATAAAGTGGGAGAGCATTTGCCTAACATGTATGAGGGCCTAGGTTCAATACCCAGGACCATGAGTAACAGGGAAAGATGTCAATCATTGGATTTAAGACCCACTCTATTCTAGTATGACTTCATCTTGGGAAGAGACTGATGTGGGATGCCCTTTTGTTTGCTGTGAATATGTTTTATTACCATTGGTTAATAAAGAAGCTGATTTGGCCAATGGCCAGGCAGAATAGAGCCAGGCAGGAAATCCAAACAGAGATACTGAGAGAAAGAAGGTGGAATCAGGGAGATTCCATGTAGCCACCAGAGGAGTAAGATGCCAGAGCATTACCAATAAGCCACAGTCATGTGGCAATACACAGATTAATAGAAATGGGCGAATTTAAATGTGAGAGCTAGTTAGTAATATACCCAAGCAGTTGGTCAAACAATCATAAGTAATAGTAAGCCTCAGAGTGATTATTTTATAAGTGGCTGCGGAACTGGGCAGGATGCATAAAAGCTAGCTACAAGAGAAGGCAGGGCTAGCAATGATATGGTCACAGGCAAAGGAATGCTAAGGACTTCCTGGAGAGAATAAGACAGGCTCTACCCAGGGGCTTTAAGATGAGGAAGAGCCTGGTCAACCATGTGGTTTGGTACAGAAGCCTCTAGAACTGGGAAGAAATTTTATCTTTCTGATATATTGAGACAGGATTTCACTATGTAGCCCAGGCTGGCCCTAAGCTTATGATCCTCCTGCCTCAACTTTCTAAGTCCCAGGATTACAGGTGGGTGTCCCCATGCCTGGTAGTTTCATGTTTAAGCCACTCTGCATGACTTTGTTATGGTAGCCCCAGGAAGTGGACAGAGCTTTGCTGGGGCTTCTGAGCAGACCCGAGCAGTTGTGGGAGTCTGGCCCACGATCTGAGCCAGCTAGGGTGGGTCCTCACAGAAGTGTTTGCTGACTCTGATTTATAGCGTTGCCATTATTTGGGGGGTAGAAGATAGTGTGCCACCATATCTAACAGGAGGAAATTAATCTCCTAGTAAGTGTCACAACCCTTCCTACTCTAGAGATGCAATGACAGAGCAACGCACGGTTCAGACATAACTGGGGCAGCCTCTGCTCTTCCCCACCCATCTTCCTTCAGCACTGTGACTTTCTCTGGAGAAACACCCCTGCCACCATGACCTTGTGTCCTGTTCCAAGGGCTGGGTACCCAGGGCATTAGTCAGCTTGGACTGACTGCAAATACCACAGGTTGAGCGACTTAAACAATGGGACTTTATCTAAACCTGGGTCTGGAGGCTGGGAGGTTCTGCTGGGGTTCAGTTTCTGAGGAGGGCTGCTTTCCCAGCTTGGAGATGGGCACCCCTCCCTGTGTCCTCATGATCTTTCCTCGGTGAGTGTGCACAGCCTGGCATCCATGTCTCCTCACAAGACCACAGAACCTCATTTAACCTTAGTGAATGCCCATAGTCAGTCACCTTGGAGGGTGGACTTCAACATAGAATTTGGAGGTGGGAGCACCATCCAGGTGAAGGCAATCAGTGCTCTTTCTTACTCAGTCACTTTTCACACATGACCGGAAACTATCCCAAAGCACAGCATTGGTTACAACTTTGAGGAAACCAGAAAAGAATGTGAAGCTGGGCTAGTCATGGCATATAGAGCCATGAGACACTAGAACACTAAGCATTCCTTAAGAGACATTGCCACCTGTTCTAAAATAATATACTGCATTAGTGATGGTATATGGCTAGTTATACATTGTTTGGCAAAATTATGACATAGTTAGTGTTTTTGTTTGGAAATTAGGCATGGCATAAGATGATGTGACTGTGTATCAGGTTGTCAAGAGGAGGCTGTGTGACGGCAAATCTTGGTTGCCCTCTTGGCTACATCTGGAATCAATGAAAATCCAAGCAGCTGGGCACCTCTGTGAGGGATTTTCCTGATTAGATCATTCGAAGTGGGACTGTTCACCCTAAATAGCACCTAAGGTTGACTTACAACTTTCATATATACATGTGAGCACACACACACACACACACACACACACACACACACACACACACACTTCTGCTTAGCACCAACTGGTTCAGTCAAGATCTGCTTTAATGCTAGGAGGACCATGTGTTCTGGTTCCAGACCATGGGTGGGCTCTCATATGCTTTAGCTCATCCACCCTTGCTCTACTTACACAGCAGCAAGATATGATTAAGTGTGAACAAATACAGACGACCGCTTGAATAAATTCAGATTGCTTCCGGGAGAATCCACGCTATGAAAAAGCACAGGCTTTCCAGGTCCCAGCAGAGTCCTGGAAGGATTCAGACTCAGAAAAATGCCCAGAGGATGTAAAGGGGCCTGTGGGCCTCTTCCCTGGGCATCCTGCCCTCTGGCTCCTCCAGATGTAAGCACCCAAGTTCAAGGCACAGCTCTATAAAGGCCATGTGACCATGAGCAATCTTCAGAGCTGCCTGAGCCCTTGTTTCCCTATAGGGAAAGCAGAGAAGGTACTACTCATTAGCAATAGATATTAGTGCTAATGTCTAATCAGTATGTTTTAGCATTAAACTGCAGAGAGAATGTGTGCCATGCAGGCATAAGGTCCTTTGAAAAATAAAAGCACTGTTCTTTCTTTTTAGAAACATTTAGTGTGTGTGTGTGTGTGTGTGTGTGTGTGTGTGTGTGTGTGTACGTGCATGTGCTTGCACACATGAGGAGCTCAGAGGGTAACTGTGGGAGTGCCTCTTTCCCTCCTCTATGTAGGTTCCAGGATCAAACTCAGGTTGGGCATCACGCCTGACTCCAGCCCTGTAAAAACTATCATTATCTCCTCACTTCAGCTCTCCTCTTGGGCCCAACACAACCCCCCAGCCACTCCATGGTTTGGGCAGGACTTGGTGGTAGGAATCACCTCTGGAGGATCACCCTGTACTCCTGTCAGCTTCCTTTCAGAACATCTGCCTGTGGGATCTTTGTTTTTGAGACAAGGTCTGCCTATATAGCTCAGGGCGGCCTTGAACTCATGACCTCAGCCTCCTGAGTACAGGGGGGTCAGAGGTGGTCATCAACCTTTCTAGTTCATAGTCCCTTTTTACAAGGCTGTAAGCTTGAAAGGCTGGCTGGCAGGAAAGCCTCTCCATTTTGTCAACTACATCCCCAGTCTTTAGGCGCCCGCCTAGTGCATAGTAGGTGCTCAACGAATGTGGGTTTGCAAATCAGCACAGGCTCAGACAGATAGGGGCCACTTCCGCCCGCCCGGGCCTGCCACGCCGCCAGCGGGAAGCGCCGGGGGTGGGGCCGGGCGAAGGGAGGGCCGGGCGGTGGGGCTGCGAGCCTTCTTCCAGCAACTTCCCAGTAACTGCGGGATCCGATGCAGCCACCGCCCCGGAACCAGGCCTTCCCTGTTCTGCCTTCCTGGAGGAGGCCCGGGAGTAGCCCTCGGGAGGGCAATCTCCCGCACGTCCCGAAGTCCCTCTGGCCACCCGGCGTCGATCCAGGCGGAGGCCGGGAGGGGGCCGCCCTCCCCGCGAGGCTCCAGACTCAGGCATTTCCTCTTGGCTGCCCGGCGCGGCCTTCGCCCTCCGAAAGAAGAAAATCCCGGGGCCCGAGTAACCCGGCCGATCGCCCCCGTGCGCAGCGGCTGCCGAACCAGAAGGGCCGCCCAGGGTAGGGTAGGAGTCCGGAGCAGAAGTTGACCGAGGGCAGCGCGGCGGGGACTGAACAGGGCAGGGACAGGGTGCGGCCAGGGGCCGGAGTGTGCAGCGCGGGCGGCGCCTGGAAGGGGAACTTGAGCTGGGAGAGGCAGAGCAGCGGGGCTGCTGGCCCCGGCGCTGCGAGCGGGGGGAGTCGCCTCCAAGGCCAAGGACACGGGGGCCGCGGAGCCGCCGGGGCGCTGCTCGCATGCTGGGCAGGGGACATCACCCGGGCTCGCGCCCTGGGCCGCCCGGACTCCCGGCATGTCCGTGCGGTATACGCTTAACCTGAAGGTCTTCTGGCCGGTAGTGACCGGACTATGCACAGCTCTGGTGTGCCTCTACCATGCCCTGCGCAGCAGCGAGGGCGCCAGAGCCGAGCCCCCCGACGGTGCAGACAGCGGCTTCCCGCTGCTCAAGGTGGCCATCCTTCTTCTCCTCGGCTACATCCTCCTACGATGTCGCCATACCATCCGCCAGCGCCTCTTGCCAGCCTCTTCCCGCCCGTGTGGCCACGCCAACTTCTCAGCCAGATCCTTGCAAGAGCCAGGCCTGAGCATCTTGCTGGAGAGTTACTATGAGCACGAGGTGCGCCTGTCGCCGCATGTGCTAGGTCACAGCAAGGCGCACGTGAGCCGGATCGTGGGTGAACTGGTGCAGGCCGGCCGGGCTCGAGGGTCTCCAGGTCCCATCACTGGGGGGAGCACTGGCTTTGGCCTTCCGGGGAGATTTCATCCAGGTAGGCAGTGCCTACGAGCAGCATAAAATCCGCAGGCCAGACAGCTTCGACGTGCTGGTGCCACTGCGCCTCCCGCCGCAGGTGGCGCTGGAGCCGCGGAGCCTGGGCACCGAGCCCACGCTGGTCCCTGCCTTCCGCAGCTGCTTCGTATGTGCCCTCAAGGCACCTCCCTCGCCATCGGGGACCACGACGGGCCAGTGGCATCGCGACTGCAAGCCCTTTGCTGAAGGGTTCTGTGTGGATGTGCAGGGCCGGCGCCACCTCTCGGCTACCCTGGTTCTGCGCTGGTTCCAGGCGCACCTACAGCGCTCCTTGGCTACCGTGCGCTACAGCCTGGAGGGTCGCTGTCGGGTCAGCCTGACTCCAGGTAGTCTGGAGCAGCCTCCCACGCTCCATATTCTTCCTTGCCGCACGGACTACGGCTGCTGTCGCCTTTCCATGGCCGTGCGCCTCATCCCCGCTGTCCATCTGGGCGATGGCGTCTTCCTTGTGGCACCACCTCCACCACCCTCGCCAAGCGGGGCCCTGTCCGAGCTCCCGGGTGGCCTGTGCACTGAGGCACTGTGGGGTGTGAATACAGCACGCCAGGAGCAGAAACTGCTGGGCTGGCTTCAGGAACGGGCGCCTCCAGGTGCCTGCTACCTCAAGTGCCTGCAGCTGCTTAAGGCTCTTCGAGACCTGGGTGCCCGCGGGCTGGACCCAACGGCTGCTACCCAGTGGGAACGCATCCTCTCCTCCTATGTGCTCAAAACGGTGCTGCTGGCGGTGTTTCTGAACGAGGGCGGCCCAACGCACAGCTGGGACGAGGCACACCTGAGTGAGTGCTTGGAGAAGTTGGTGAAGTTCCTTAGGGACTGCCTGCTGCGCCGCCGAGACCTCTTCCACTGTGTCTTGGGCCCAGGTGGGGTGGCCGCTGAGGTGGGCCCTCTGCCCAAGGCGCTTCGCGAGGCGGCTCCAGTTGACCTCCTGGCACCTTTCGACCTGCGCGCCCGGGAGCTTGCAGCAGCGCGGTTGCTGTCCACCTGGCGAAGGTTGCCCCAGCTTCTCAGGGCCTACGGTGGCCCCCGATACCTTGCCAGGTGCCCCACACCCCGAAGTCAACGCATCCAGGGCTTCCCGGAAGATGAGCCATGAACCCTGATTACACTCCACCTGACCAAATGCCCCTTTCCACAGGATGGGAGTGAGGGTGGCAGTTAAACTCGAGATGAGCTGTAGAAAGTGTTGGGAAATTTGGAGGATATCAAAGGCTTTGGTGGCTTAAATGTTCTGCCCTAGGATAGCTGTGGCATCTTCAGCAGGCCCATTAGAGTGTCCTGGGTGGTCTTATACGCACATCTTTCTGCCCCCAAATTATTAGAAGCAATCATGTTTGACATACGTATTTGTTAGATACTACGTTCTCAGCTGTTTTTGGAGGAGTGTTGTGTGTTTAATTATGGAGCTGGAATCCTGGACCTTGCATATGCTAGGTAGACACTCCACAACAGAGCTATACATCCTGGGCTCTTAGTTTTGTTTTTAAAGGGGAAGAAAAAAATCCTTATCCACAACTGGAACTGAAATTCTAGTTCAGCTGTTAGTATTCTAGAGTCATAATTTAGCCATTCCCACGAGCATTCATGTATTTTTAATAGTGCAAAGACAAGTTTGTTAGCAAGATTAATGGAATTGTCATAAATCAATTGACCTGTGGTGGGGAACTGGTTAGAGACTTTCAGAGCAAGCAGCCTTTTATGTCCAGGCATTCTTTTGTTCAGTGGCGGTGGACCCAGCGGCTATTCAAAGGAGGCTCCATGCAGTTATTGGAAAGACCAAAGCTCTGAAAAAGCAGCCAGCCGCCATTCAACACTCCCCAGGCCACAGGTGGGGATTTGCACTCGGCACATGTTCATTTGAGCTAGGCAGAATGCAAAGAAAAAAGATCCTTAATTAAGGCAGGTCTGGTGAAAGTGTGAAACACAAGTCTTGAGAAAGAGCCTAAGGCTCCCTGTGAGCTGGACACAACCCGCCTTTGTTTCAGTGCTTCTGAGCAAATGGCGCTGCAGGCCTGTTTTAGAGTTTAAGTACCTATGAGGAAAAAACGCTTGGCATGCTGCCTGGGAAGGATTAGGCTTCAGTGATGTCTTGTGTTGGGGTAGCCGTTGGAAGGTTCTTGATTGCCTAGACAACCTTACCTAGTCTTGAAGGCCAGCTCTTGCTTCTGCTTATGACCTATAAAATAGTAGCTTGCAGTATGTGCTTAGAGACCTGTCACTTCTCCTCAGTTGGCACAGGAGGAATGAGAGAGCTGGCTCTCTAGTGCTCTGCGTCTCCAGGCTGGGTGCCTCCCTCTTGCAGTTGGGAAGAGCCCATTCTCCAGAGCCTCTCATCCTCCCAACTTCCTGACAGCTCCGAATGGCAGTTCAAGTTTAGGATGTCCCACCTTCCTCTCTCCTAGTGGGAAAGGTGGCCAGCAATATATTTATGGATTTTCTTTTTAAATAGCAAAGATCTGCTTCCTCAGACTCTTTAAAGAGATGATTTTTGCCTAAAAGTAGTCACATGAATAAGGCCATTGTTAATTTCTTAGCTATCTGGAGGGAACTCTGCAAACCCCCTTTCTTTAGGGCACGGGGTTGGCAATCAACAGTAATAGAGTGTAGGGAACTTCTCATTAGAGCTGTGCTGACTTCTTGTGTCCTTTGCAACTGTGGATTGAAAGAGAAGCAGCTGTCTCATTGAGTTGTTTGGGGGACCATTCCTCTTGATACCCCAAGGTCATTCCTAAGATCATTCCTAGATTTTTGAGGCCAATATTTGGTCATTAGGTACGGCATTGGATGTAGGTAGGGGGTCATTATGTTAGCCTCTTGCAAGGATAGAAACTGCACAGTGGGTTTTAATTACTTTAAAAGTCAATGTCAAGGGAATATTTTGTGTGTGTGTGTGTATGTGTGTGCGTGTGCGCATGGTTGTGTGTTGTGTGTGGGTCTGTTTTTCTGTGTGTATACTACACACATGATTTCCATACTCAGCCTGTTGATTCCTCTGTAGTCATTAAGTTACAATAGGGGACAATGAGGCAATTTTCCAAGTATTAGATTCCTTTTTAAAAAATAATCTTGATAATATTTTAAAGTATAAATCTGGTTATTGTCATAAATATGAATAGCTTGTATAAGTATCTCCTAGGGTTTTTTTTCCGTTATTTTTATTTTTTTCTGGGTTATTAAGCAAAGCTTCATCCATCCTCAAAGCTTTTAAATTTTATTATTATTATTATTAAATTAATGGGCATTGTGTTTATGAATTAAAAATATTAATGTTTTATTTAATGCCATGCTGAACAGTTGTTCTCGATATGTGGCAACCAAAACTTAAGAGATTTCGATCAATTTTGATCAATGTTTAGTGACCTGAAGCATGTACTGTGTACAGATGCAATGGTATGGCTGTTATGGTGGCTGCCGAGGCCTTTGCATTCAGCTTAGTTCTGCATTTCATTACAGCTACTGTCACGGCCTCCAATTGGTGTGTACACATTTTTGGTGTATATTTGGTACTGCAGAGTCATATATGCCAATATTCTAACATAGGATGGCTCTACCAAAAAATAAAGAGTTGTTTAGCCAGGGCCCAAAGAAACTGTTTTGAGGCAGATGACTCAGCCCTTTGCAGTGACACTTCAGTGACTCCCACTGCCTGGCTCTGAGCCTTCCTGGAATGTTCGTGGGCTGGGAGAATCTGTGCTTTGCAAAACGAAGTTGGAGTGGAAAGAGAGGAAAGTTTGAGTGGATACAAATATTCTCTGAGGATTTGGGGAAGGGGACTTAAGATGGATGTGAATGGAAGAAATGGGAGGAAGGAGACAGGTAAAAATCCCTGGGAGGGTGGGAGAGAGTTTTGGGTGAGGAAATGTGTTTTTAGGTATGTGCTATTTCCAGCCAGGAGTCACAGACTCAGTAGCCTAGAGGCAGGGAACTAAATAAGAGTAGGGAGTGTGGTGGGGGCTGTGACTACCTTAAAGAGGGCAGCCACAGCTCTGCTCTAGGTGGGAAAAGAAAAGGTGGGGCTAGGAATTGGTATTTCAAATTAAAATACTGAAGCTCGCTGGCTTTTGATTTAAGGAGTAATTTAATGTCTAAAACCACCTAGCAGAACCTGAGGCCACCAGTGTTCGACCCCTTGCCTTACAGGTAGCCTTCCCCCCAAGTATATATATGTAAGGTTATATTCTTTGCCAGGGAGATGATGGTTTTATATATAGGAGGGGGTGTGCTAGATCATTTCTACTTCATCTCTCAGAGTTAAGCTTTATTATGGGAATAACAACAGAAAAAACTAACACGACCACAGATAACATTTATCCCCAGTTTCTGGTAGGGCTCCCGTGCAAGCCTGGCTCTCCAGTGAGAACCACTGAAACACGTGGGGCTATTTCTGGTTTCTCTTTGCTGGTGATTTGGGGTCAACTACTTGGCCTGGCTGGAGCTTGCAGGTGAGTAATAAGGTTCAGCTGCAGAGTAAGTTCTTTGTATTTGGTTCTCATATGAAACTAGTTTTCTTCTGGTTGTTGTCCATGGTAATCCAGCCTGGGACTTCACAATGTTGTCTGAAGGTATTAAATACCAGCAAAACAAAACAAAACAAAAAACCACAAAAAACAGCCAGTGTTCCATCTTTGGACCAATTCCATGGCATTATACTATTCCCACCTCCAAGAACACTGGCGGACTTCACTTCCAGCATCTCTAACCCTTTCTGACTCAGTGTCTCCCACCAAAATTATCACCAGCTGAAGCTTGCTTCCAAAGTGTCTTTTGTCACCTCCCAGTCATGTTTTCCACAGAATGGGCTTCCTGGCTTTGACCTTGATGAAGAGGTTTTTCCCATGTCTACACAAAGAAAACTTCTCCCACATTTCTGACATCCCTCATGAGGGAAACTGGTTCAGTGTTACCGCTGTGGTGTGTTAGTTTTTTCTTCTTTAATTGCTTGTCTGCAACACATCTATTTTTTTATGGCACATGGGGTGGGAATAATGCTAGTGGAAGTCAAGAGAGGGTGGCAAATTCCAGATCATGTACACAGAGAAAATAGAGTAAGAACTGCAGCTAACTTATATGGAATCTGGTTTTGGAAATATTGGATATTCAGGAATATTTTAGCACCTTTTGGGGAAAAAAGGTTGCCTTGTCTTAGTCAGTTGACTTGAAGCATTCCAGCGTTGGCTGTTTTTAATGTGCCTTCTGACCCCAAACACTGGGATACAGTTTGAGGGTCTCAGTTACAGCCTGTTTGTTCCAATAAACGAGACCAAAGAGTTAATCAGACCTGGTTGGCTGCTATCACAACTGTGTGATTAAGGATGTCTTATCACACAGTTTCCATGGCCCCAGTGGTCAAGCCTGTCACTCTCATCTTCATTTGAAGTTGGAGTAAATTTGCACTTTTGGATCCTGTGGGTCACTAGGGGATCTAGCTCTTTCCATTTTGCTGTATCAATAAAGGAACTTGGGGAAACCTCTGTACTGTGTGCATGGCTTTTGGGGACCCCGGGTGGGAGGGTGCTGTTGCCTGTGCCTGCACTGGCTTGAACTTCTTTGCACAAGCTTCTGTTGCTTTACCTCAGGTGCTCCCTCCTCTCCCCCCACCCCTGTGTGTGTGTGAGAGAGACAGAGAGGCAGAGGCAGAGAGACAGGAGAGACAGAGAGAGACAGAGACAGAAAGAAAGACAGGAGAGAGGGACAGAGACAAGAGAGAAAGAGAGAGAGAGAGAGCAAGAGACAGGAGAGAGAGAAACAGACAGAGAGATGAGAGAGAGAGAGAGAGACAGACAGACAGACAGATAGACAGACAGACAGACAGAGGTTCTGGGCATTATAAGCTCAGGTCCTCCTGTTTGGGTACCAGCTGAGCCATCTCTCCAGCCTACCTCAAAGACTTTTCTGGAACTCTGTCTCTTGATCCTACTGGGGAGAACTGTTTGCTCAGGTGGGAGAAGATGCCCTGCAAGGGTGCAGCCTGGAGTTCTGTCTTCCATTCTTTCCCTGCCTAGAACTCTCTGCCCTGCCCCTCCTCTCTGCCCCACACACCCCTCTCCAACACAATTCAAGTATTGGCCAATGGCTAATTCATAGATCAAACATTTTGTCTAGAAACTGCCTGGGCCCCGGGGCCCTCTTGATATGGTTAACTGCTGACACTGAAAATGAACTGTCTGAGCATGAGATGGAATCTTCCAGACCGAGTTGGGTGGTCGACAATTCAGCCAGCTAGGCCTCAAGGAAAGCTGCAGCTACTGCTGACTAAGCACTAGTTGTATGTTAAGCCTCTGGGAAAACTGATGAGCATGTCTCATTTGGTTTTCAACTAAAGTAGTAATGTCCCAGGGCATTGAAAACAGCACAGAGTTGGCAAAGACACACACCACCTCTTCCAAGTTTACAGATGTGCTGTCGGAGATTAGGGTATTGGGCAGGGAAGGCAATGGAACTCATAAAAGAGATGCCTAGGGCATAGGGATTTCCTAGGAGGGCAACTTGGAGGAGGTAACTTCTAAGTAGAGATCTAAAGACAGGTAGGAATTAGCCAAGCCAAGGAGGTTGAACCAGCTGCAGAAGACCACATTAAGCACCACCAGTGAGGGGACTTTGTGACAGAGGAAAACTGGTCATTTCACAGTCGCCAGGAAGCAAGGAGAGGAAGGAACTGGGGGTCCCAGTGCCTGATCTCAATGGCCTGACCTCCTTCCTCTATGGCCCAACTCCCAAAGGCTCCACTATCTCTCGATATCACCACAGCCTGAGGACCAAGCCTCTAATGTAGGGACTTAGGGAGACATTAAGATCCAAGTCATTTCAGAAGAGCATGGAGGAAAAGGCTCATGTCAGGAACATGCTTGGCTACAGCTTGTAAAGGCCAGACCTACAGTGACATTAACAATAAGGATTTCAAACCCCACCCCCTTCTAGAAGCCTGGATGCATCCCTCCTGCAGTTGAGGGATGATTTGGGATCCAGGCATCTTTTTGCTTTGGCTTTACAGGTGGCTTTGCTTTTATCTTCATGCTGTGTATATCCAGATTCTGCAGTGACCTCTTTCTTTTCCTGCAGCTAGCTTGCTCAGAGAGGAGAGAGAACTGACTATGGAAAGCGGTGAGCTTCTCTCTTCCCATTGACACGGGAAGGTGGCAGGGAAAATGGGCATTCATGGATAAATAAGCCAGCCACAGAATTTGGAAATAAACAAAGCAGCCCTAGAAACAAACTCAAAAAGTCTACCAGAAAAGTGGGCAGTAGAGGGCTCACCATTTCATATCTATTTGATTTAGACTGTCCTAAGTTAGCATGCAATAAACTATACAGATGTGTCTGGTCTCAGGATCACTGTTCACTAGTGATGATGATGATATGATGATGATGATGATGATGATATTGTTAAGCCAGTTATTCAACATGAAAGTGAAAACCCATCCCTTGATAGCGGTGCTGGGTATAATACCTGTACACCCGCCAGTGTGAGTCAGATGTTAGCTGTCCATCCTTGGGAGGATCTGCACATCAGATTTTTGAAACAAGCAGAGGGTCAGCTTATAAGAGGGAGTCTGCCTCAAGCACTCAGCCCATGTCTCTCCATCGCCAGATTTTCTTCAGGTGGGACCGGGGCTGACGCTACAGTTTTGAACATTTGTTGTAGCTGTCCCTAGAAATGAGGTCCATCCAGTGAGAGGTTTGCCCACGCCACTCCTTTCTTCCACAGTGTCTCATCTTCTCACCAAATGTCCTCCACTTGTTGTCCTTGCTAGAGTTCCAGGCACAAGGCTCAGGTTCTCAGTGGTCTCAGTCCTGACTTTCTTAGGACACACCAGGGACTTTGCAAAGACACCCAAGCTTGGGGCCCCACCCTACATCAGTGAGATCAGAACCTCAGAGAGGACAGTCCAAGCAAGGACCCTTTTTAGAGCTCTGTGGATGAATTTACTAAGGTTATTAACCACTGAGTGTTGTCTGGTGGTTCTTCCAGAACCTTCTGCCTGTGATGTCTACATCAGGGCTATGGAACCAGTTGGTGTTTGTCACATCTGTTTCCTGGCAGACACAGACATGTGAAGGGTCAGCAGCAGTAGTGATAATGGACAGAAATCTTTGGCTGAGAGACACAGGCTTGGCATCACTTCTAAGAAGGCATGAGGCTTAACTTTGCAGGCACTTTCCCTTTCTCTAACCCCAGGAAGACAGAGACAACTTTGCCAAGATGTCAGAGTCACAATGGAACTTCTCCACATAGAGAAAAGCTTCTATATCAGAAAGACGCTGCCCTTCTTCTATAATCTGCCATCCAGAAGAGAGCCAGATGCATTGCTTTCTGTCTCTCTGACAAAATACCAGACACAATCGAGTGATAAGAAGCAAAAACTGTTTTGACTGTTTTAGAGGGTTCAGCCATGGTCAGTTGATTCTATTGTTCCTGACCTCATTGCCACTGGGGAATATCAAGGAAGAGACAGGGTTGAGAGTCCCTTCCATGGCATGCCCCCCATGACATGACTTCCTCTCACTAGGATTTACTGCCTAAAGGTCCAACCCCCTGCCTCTCTCCAATGGCACCATGGACCGGTAACAAACCCTTTGACGCATGGTCTTCAGGGTGAGACATTTAAGACTGAAGTGCAGTAGCTACAGCCCGTCTTCACAGAATGCTGCCTCTTTTCATGAACATCCAAAGGCTTTATCCAAGTGTGCATGCATACGAGAGCTTGTGGCAACCGGAGATTAGCCTTAGGTATAAATTCTTCAAGCTCTCTCTACCACATGATTTTTGTTTTCTTTGGTTTGTTTTGCTTTGGAACATGGTCTCCCAATGGCCTGGAACTCAACAAGATAGCTATGCTGACTAGTCACCTGGCCCCTGAAATCTGCCTGTCCCCACCTCCCCAGTACTGATATTACAAGCACGTGTCACCACATCTGGCTTTTTAACATGGGCCCTGGTGACAAGTTCTCCTGCACCCAAGGCAAACACTTTAACAGAACTGACTACCACGCCCTCTTCAGGTGCACTGACTCTGAGCTGGCCCTGAAGAGGAAACTCAAGTCCATCGAATCACCTTCCATTGAAGTCAGGGGAAAGACCCCAAGAGTCCCTCTGTCTTCCACACCCAATAGAAAGCTTTTAGCAACCTAGTCATTTGAAAGATTCTTGTCTTCATGGTTTATTTAATCATAGGTCACTTCAAATTACGAACCAGGCTTCTACTGAGTGGCTTTGATACCTTATTGAAATTGAAAGAAGTGTTTCAACTGCACAACTGTCTCCCATGGGAGCCCTTACCCTGTGGGAGGAGTGGGGAGGATGGGAGGGAGAACTGTGATTGGAATGTAAAACAAAAATTAATTAATTAAAAATTTTCAACTGTGGAGACAAATGGCTGTGGGAGCTGATGATGAGTGACCTTCTGGATGCGACAGGGCAAGAAACTGCAGACTGAAGACACTGCCTCACGTCTCAGATGTCACATGGGCAAAGGCTGTGTGATCCCCATGGTTTTTCTGATAAATACAGTCAACTTTCCATATCCATGGCTTTCAATCTGATTTGACCAACCACAGATCAAAGATTCAGGGGGAAACACCAACCAAATCTGGAGGCCAACAAGATGGCTCAGCAGGTGAATACACTTGCCCAGAAAGCCTGATGGGAACAAACTCCCAAAAGTCTTCACATGCACATTGTGGCATGTTCATACCCATACGTACACTCACATGCACACATTTTACATACAATAATAATACATTTTAAAAATTACATCTGCGGCTGGCAAGGTGACTCACATGATAAAGATGTGTGTTCCAAACATTGTTCTCTGACCTCTACATGTGTGCCATGGCACACCTGGATTTAAAGATCACAGGAGACTTTCATAGTCTTTGGAGAAAGCTCACTCTTCAGCTCCAACTCACGTGGAACTTGGTCTCCCTAGTTCTTGGATTACAGGTATGAGCTACAGTGTCATTTTTTCTTCTCTCATTGTATACAGAGGGCCTGAACACACACAATTTTGGTTCTTGGAGTGGGTCTTAGAACTGAACTGATTCTCTGGTGCAGTTTGACTTGGTTTTCAGAAGCCATCTCATTAGTAGTCATCTGTACTTTCCAGGTCTTCATCGAGCATCAGGACTTCCTCTTTGTATTCACAGACACATGAAGCCATTAGAGACTGAGCCCTTTACATACAGAGGCACACTAGTTATGAGCAACCCTCTATTGCCCAGTACCCCCTGAAGGTGCACAGGGCCAAGTGACCAGTTGTATCCAGTGGGCATGGAGCAGAAGAGACATGTGCTTGGTCCCGCAGGGACAATAAAATTGATCAGTTACAATGACAGCATCCCCAATTGCAACTGAGTCATTAGCACATAATCACTGCCTGTAAGAGTCACTGGAATTGTATTTAGATGGTTGAGAAATCAGCCTTTGCTGCCAGATATTTGATTACACAGTGTAAAGATATGTCACTGTGACTGG